GCATTACCTGCTACCCTGGGTCACAGTGTTGCGACCACCAAAATCTACGCAATATAATATATAACAAGCCATTTACAATACTACAAAATAAAATCCAGATCAAATTAGAAATACCTATAAAAATTCATTGAAAAAATACCGAGTTTATTCATATGTAGTCTGAGCCAAAAATATAGGCATTGCCTACAAAAAACGCCAACAAAGCACAAGGTTGCGTATTGCTATGAAGACCGACGTGAAAGAACAGCTACCAATCCACCAAGGGACACATGAATTATACAGAAGAGAGTATAATGCGAAATGTGCCGATAAATACAACATCAATCAAAAAACACTTACCTAGCTAAATAAATCAGCTGTCGACTCATCCCTCATATAAAAAAGACAGGGCTTGTCCACGCGCATTCATTCGCCAGGATGCCTTGCTGAGATCTCCTGTTGCAGCGCTGCGATCTTCTTACGCTGCCGCTGATACATTGCCGCTTAGCTTACCCTGAGGGTCGACATGTTGGACATCAGAAAATCTGAGCAAAAATAACAAGTTCATTTACACTCTACAAAATGAAATCGAAAATACCGACGTTAAAAAATGTAGATCAGCAAAAATATAAGATCTACAAAAACCCCAAAAACCATCGAGGCTACGTTTGCTCGAGAAGACCTTGACTAAGGAAACAGCTACAATCCACCAAAGACAATGATCATTATACATGAAAGAGGATGTATACGATGCCAATGTGCCGATATGGACACATCATCTAAAACAATATAGCTCTACATCCAACTTTATCTTTCCATTAAATAAAGACAAGCTGCAGCTAATTCAGCCAGATATGCTCTGAATGTGACACCTACCCTGGCGCGGAGCTCTTCACTGCCTCTGCATTACCTGCTACCCTGCGGTTCACAGTGTTTGACACCAGAAATCTAGCCAAAATAAACAACGCCATTTACAATCTACAAAAATCAGATAATCAGAATCAGGATAATAGAATTATCCAAAATGATGCCACACTGTCTACACCGTTGAAAAATATCACAGAGCGTGTATTAAAAAAAGAGAATGAATAGTCAAAAATAAGAAACCCCCAAGAAATGTACAAAAACGCCAACAACGCATCGATCAGTGTTGCTAGGTAAACCTGACGTAAGAACAGCACAATCCACCACGGACGACATACTGAATTATACAGGAAAGAGGATGTATAAGGCAATGTGCCATAATGGGACACCCTATCATCTAAAACTATAGCCTCTATGATACGTGACCATTTCATATAAATACAAGGAAGCTTGCAACTGGTTAATTCGGGTATGCCTTGTTACTCCTTGAGCTGATCTCTTCACTGCCTCCTATTACCTGCTACCGTACCGTCTGGTGTTGGACACCAAGAAATCTACGCAAAATGAAACAAGCATTACACATCTACAGAAATGATAATCGATAAATTAGAATTCAAAAATCGCTTGAAAAAATATCTATGGAGTTATAAAAGTTATAAGTCCAAGCGCAAAAGTTTAATATAAGCGGATGTACAAAACACGATGCACAACAAACAATCCAAGTCAGTTTGCTATCGAAAGACCTTGAACCGATCAGAGAACAGCTCACAATCCGACACAAGGACATATAGACATATACACGGAAGAGGATGCTTATAATGCGCAATGTGCCGATATTGGAACATTCATGACTCTAAAACTACATATAGCCCTAAATCACCAAGTGAACCCATATTACTATTATCCAAATAAGCAGCTTGCACGTGTTAATCGCCCAGATATGCCTTGTGTTACTCCTTGAGCACGGATCTCCTTCACTGCCTCTCGACATTACCTGCTACCCATGAGTCAGTGTTGGACACCAGACAATCCTAGAAAATGAATAACATGAACACTTTACACTACAAAAATTAAAATCGTAATTAGAATTCAAAATGTCTTGAAAGAATATCAGTTAGAAAATGTAGTCAGCAAAATAAAGAAGATGTACCATAAAAGCGCACAATCATCGCCATCGAGGTCACTTGCTATGCGAGACCTTTGACGTAAGGACACAGCTACAATCCACCAAGGACATATGACATTATAGCAGGAAAGGTGATAATAGCATGCATGTAGCCATATGAGACACATCATTTCTAAAACTAAGCTCTAATCTACGTGACCATTCTTATAAAGTAGCGACAGCATCTTGCACGTAGCTCAATCCGCACCGAGCTATGCACAATCGTGTACACCTTGAGCCCTGCGGATTCTCTCCACTGGCCTTCGTGCAATTAAACCATGCATACCTTGGGTGCACTGCTGTGGACACTCAGAAATACGAAGCAAATGAAACCAAGTCTTTTAAGAACCTCACCGGAACAAAATGAAATCGATAAGATCTAGAAATTTTCTCGAATGTAAGAGCCTGTCGTTGCTAAAGAATACCGTTAAAAATGTAGTCAGAAAAAAATAAGGATGTACAAACAAAAAAACTGTCCTAACACAACCGAGTCGAGGTCATCATAGCTAGGAAGACCTTGAACGTAAGGAGACAACGCTACAAATCACAAACCAAAGGACATATGCAACACTTTATAGGCAGGGAAGGAGATTGTTACGTAATGATATGCAATAGTGCCGATATGGATACATCATGTCTAAAACTATAGGCTCTAATCACTGGAACCATTTTGCATTATCAAAAATAGAGACTATGTCCTTGCACCAAGGTTTTTAATTCGCCAGAATGCCCTGAAGTACAAGCCTGATGAGACGCAGACCTCCTACTTCACTGCCTACTCGCATTTAATCACTCGCCCTACCATGTGGTCACAGTCATTTGCTAGCACTCCATGCAATCTAGACAATATAGCCGAAACCAAAGCCATGTAACACAAACTCTGAACAAACATAAAATACGAACCCTTAGTTAATACACAACAATGATCATTGAACAGATGACCAAATATCACCACTCTATGTCTATGAATCAAGATAGTCAGCAACAGAAAAATGGGAGATCACTAAAAAAAAACGCCAACGAAAGCATCATAGGTTACTGTATCCTATCATATGACAGACCTCTGACGTAAGCTGTAATACGCATTACAAGTTCCGAGCGCGAAGAGACATTATATGACATATAATACAACGAGCCGCAAAAGTATGACGATAAAAAGTGCAGCTATATGTGCGATTATAGCAATTAGACTCACATATTCAAAAAGTATAGCTCTAGAAGTCACAAAAGTGACACGCGACCTTTCCAATTAATAAATAAAGACAGCTTGCCACGTATTCTTAACATTCGCCATGTATCGACCTTCTAAACTACCCAACATGTCCGAGAAGCATATGATCTCTCACGTGCCTCAGAGCAATATCGCTGAGCCGCTTGTCGCGCTGTCAGTGTGACACCAGAAATCAGAGTGCCAAGATGAAACCTATAAGGTTCATTTACACTCTACAAAATGAACATCGATAAATTAGTAATTTCACTATAGATTATGATGTCCATTGAAAAATATCAAGTTCACAAAAACAAGTGTAGCTCAAAGAGACAAAAGAGAAAACATAATAAGCTCACGCTACGAAAAACCACCAACAAGAAACCACTCAGTTACAACGTAGCCGCCCTAGCAGGAAGTATCGCTCGACGTATAAGGAATCAACAAGCATACAATTTCCAACCAAGGACAATCATGACATTTATCTACACAGAAGAGTGATAGTACAATGCAATTGCCGAATATAATGGATACCCGACGCATTCTAAAACTTAACCATTAGCTCTAATCCGACGTGACCATTTCATATAAATAAAAGACAGCTGCACCGTTAATTCCCAGTTATGCACGTGTGACAACCTATGGGCGCGGCCAATCCGCCATCTTTACACGTGCCCTGCATTACCTGCTTACGTCCCCATCGGGAGTCAGCAGTTTGACACGCAGAAAATAGAAATCTAGCAACCAATTGAATACACACAGTTTACAAATCTACAGAGTAAGAAAATCGATAAATTAGTTGCAACTTAACAAAATGTCATTGACCCCAGCCTATCGTCTTATATAGAATGTATCACTCGATGGCAAAAAGCTAGTACAGCAGGATGACATAAAAAACGCCTAGCACGTCACCCCTGACTCGAAGCGTTTGCCTGAGCGCGATAGACCCTGTTCATCTGACGTACCATGGTGTAAACAGCCTACAATCCACCAAGGACATTGTGCCGGAGCTCCTTATACATTTATACATCAGTGCGCAACAGAAGCGGAGCCTTACTAGATGCTCAGACCCTCTGGCCTAATAATGCCCAGCACAGTGACCATTGCTAAAAACTATAGCTCTAACTCACGTCACCTATTCAGATAAATAAATATAAGCAATGCCACCGATGCGCGTTCTTCGCCAGTATCCTTGTGAGCACCTATGGGCGCGAGCGCTTACTGCCTCTGCAATTAGACGCTAAGACTACCTGAGTCATCTAGTAGTTGGTTGAACACACGAGACCAATGTCTCTCTAGCAAAATAAACAAGCCATTAATACCATCGTACAAAAATAACCATCGATAAAATAGAATCTACAGGAACCCTCAGATCTCGCATATAACAAATTATCCGAGAGCATTATATAAACACTGATAGTTCCAACAAAAATAATAAATCAGTGATGGTATAGCAAGATAGACGGCCAACAAAAGCATCAAGGCCGTTTGCTATGAAGACCGTGACGTTAAGAACAGCTACAATCACCAAGGACCACATGAACATATACTATAGATACAATGAAACTTCCAAACCTCTTGTCCTATTAACTGCGCATACTCAGAACGTGCTCCGCCGACTTATGGAACCCAGTCCCATTAGCTAAAAAACAGTACGTAGGTCCATAAATTCACCACATCTTCCTATACTACCACGAGAGACAGCTATGCCCTGCGTCCATTTCGCCCTAAGCGCCTCCCTCCTGCACAATCCCTCGTGTGAAGACGTTGAATCTCTTCACCTACCTCGCAAATTACTTGCGACCCACCCTGTCGGTCACTAAGCTCTCTGACATCTCCAGTAAAAAATCCTTTAGAGCCTATAAAAATCTGAAAACAATTACAGGACCCCATCCTCAACAAACATAAACCGATACCAAATAACGCATGCATATCTATAACAAAATAGATACTATCAAGCAATAACAGTAATCATAAGATGTAGCACACACAAATCACAAGACCACAACAACCATCCCAGCGCTCTTGTTTGCTAGGAGATGAAACCCTCAGACGTTATAGGAACAGCTACAATCCACCAGTAAGAACAACCATCCCTTATTGACATAGTACAGAAGAGCGGGAGCTGATAATGCCAGTATGCAATGGTGTCCTTAATCTATAGTCCTTCTAATATATCTAAAAACGGTAGCGAACTCTAATCACGGGACCATCATCAGTAAAAATAAAGACAGCATAAGCAACTCTCGATATCAATTCACAACGCAGTTAAGCTCTTTTATGTGACATCTTGAAACGGCAACTTCAAGAATTAAATAAAAAACCTCTACCCCGCATCGCAAGAACCAATCTATAGAATTAGTGCTCGCGCGGAAGCTCTTCACTTGCGACTCATCTCTCATAACACTGCTAACCTTCAGATCAACGGTAGTAGCTCTCGCGACACCAGTACAAAAATCCAGCAAAATGAACACTGAAATACACAAGCCATTTATACTCGAAATACCACAAACCATGAAACATCGATAATATACTCGAAACTTCAAATTAATCCCCTAACAGGTTGTCGTTGAAAAATATCAAGTTAAAAAATGTAGTCAGAAAAAATATAAGATGCTACAATAATATAGACAGCCACACAATAAACAACCACATATGTCACGCAGGCGTGCTAGGGAAGACCTCTATAGCCACCACAGGCGAGACAGCACAACAATCAACCAATAAAGACACTAATGAACAAATTATACAACTAGCGTAAAGAAGGACGTTCCACCACAGTCACTAGCGATCCAGGACGACGGAACACATTCATTCTAAAACTATAGCTCTAATCACGTGACCTCAAATTCAGAGTTACATACTACTAAACGACAAGCCTTGGAACAATCATACTCTATAGATCGCAACATCCGCAATGCACCTGTCTATGATCCCCCATTAGAAGACATAATCACTCTCTACTGCCTACGAGCCACCTGCACGATTATTCAAATTCATTCCACATACCTTCGTGACCCGTGAGCGGTCAGACATCGTTCGTTCTATCCAGAAACTCAAAGCAAAATGAACACATTACACTTACACTCTACCAAAATATATCTGAAAAAATCGATATAATTAGACAATTCACAAAAGAACGCCTATAGAATACTTTAGAATATAAACACAGTCTACACAAAAGCAGATCGAGACATATATCATGAGTAAGGATGCTACACAAATACGCGCATACACACCAATCGATACGCATCGTCCAACTATCTGCTCTCGGAAGACTCTTGACTGTAAAGGAAGATCACCAATACCGCAGATCCGACAACCACAAGGACTATACACGATATACAAGAAGGAATAGAGCAATCCGACTAAGACATATGACAAGTGGGCACGAAGCAAAATGTTCCCGAGCAAACTTCACCTATCCAAGAAACACTTTAATTCACCTCGTCAGACTATGACAAATGAATGACACCTCCCATAAAACAGACCATCCAAGCCGCCCAAACACGTTCAATTACTTACTCGCCCATTGTAGTCCTCCATGTATCCTCTCACACCAAAGACCAGTAGAACTACATTCCTGTCGATTACCTGCCCCAGCAGAGAGTATCATCTTAATATCACAAATCATCCACAGAAACTATCACACAAATAGAAAACAAAGTCATTACACTCCACAAATGCGAAATATCGATATTACAAATTAAGAGAGTATAACACAAAAATACGACTACCGAGAGATGACACAAAAATAGACCTGTCTCACCAAAATCAGTCAGCAAACATCCAAATCATCTAAAAGACATGTATCAAAATCAAACTCAACCTAAACTCGAGACGGCAACTAGCAAACGAAAGTAGCCCCTTCTGAGACTTAAAGTCGAACCTGCGTACACAGCGCAATCATACAAAAACACTATGATCATGTTATACTAAGCGATAAGGGAGTACGCATGAATATAATCATAAAGATGTGCTCTATGCAAACATCTATCATCATCACAAATACGTACTAGACACTATAGAAAATCAACACTATGAGCCTCATTATCACTTCTACTACAAGAGAGCTCAAAGACCCTAGTCTAAACGTGCACTAATACAGACTCTCAAGTTATGACCTAATGTTTAACACCACATTCCGCGCAGAGTCTCTTTAAATATCTATCCGACTCGAGCGATTATAACCTGTAACTACCGTACGATACAGCATATGCGAAACAACAGTCAAAGGTCCAAGCAACCATGAATATATGATACATCCTTACACTGCACACAAATGAAACCCTAAAGCCCATTAGAATCACCAAACTCATGAAAAATATACCAGTATTAAAAATGAGTCCAGCAATACAATAAGATAAGGAGTACAAAAACTCCCAACATAGCACGCACCATCAGTGATGCCGAGTGGTCGTTATTTATAATCGCTAAGCGAGAACGATACCTACTCGACATATGAGAACTACCAATCGCATCGAGAACCATTTCTCCAAACTCTAAAAACAGCTTAGCACACGCAGACCTATATATTTACCAGATGGCCAAGTAGTAGTACTCGTTCTAAGAGTGCCACGTTCTCGTCCGAGCTCTCTGCATATTACCTATCCAATCTCCGTGAAACAAACAACACCGTGATGTCAAACACACAAAATAATAGTACGACACATATAGCACAGCGAGACCGCTATTATTCGCCAGTTACCCACACCAATAAAATCGATGTATGAATACACACATTATGCAACGAATGTCATTCGAAAAATATCGACGTTAAAAATGTAGTCAGCAAAAATATAAGGAGTACAAAAACGCCAACAAAGCAATAAGCGTTTGCTATGAAGCCTACGTAAGAACGAGCTACAATCCACCAAACATATGGACATTAACCGAAGATGATGATAATGCAGCAATGCCCATATGGATACATCTTCCTAAAAACTATAGGCCTCAATCACGTGACCCATTTCATATAAATAAAGACAGCTTGCACGTTGTTACATTCGCCAGTATGCTTGGTGACTTTCGAGGCCTGCAGTGATCTCTTCACTGCCTCTGCCATTACCTCTACCTGGGTCCAGTGCTTGCGACACCAGAAATGACGCAAAGAAACTCATTTACACTCTACAAATTTGAAATCATAAATTAGAATCCAAAATGAGCAGTGAACTCAACGTAAAAAATGTAGTCAGGCAAAAATCTAAGGAGTACAAAAACCCCAAACAAAAACCATCGAGCTCGTTGCTAGGAAGACCTTGACTAAAACAGCTACTCCACAAGACATATGACATTATACAGGGAGAGGACGTATAATGCAATTCCATATGACACATCATTCTAAAACTACCCTCTAATCATGTGTACCCTTCATATTAAATAAAAACAGCTTCACGCGTTAAATCGCCAGTATCCTTGTGAACACCTTAGGCGCGGAGCTCTTTACTGCCTCTGCATTACCTTGCTTACCTGTCACCCAGTCTGGACACCAAAATCTAGCAATAAACAAAGCCATTCAATCTACAAATTAAATCGATAAATTAGAATAACAAAATGTCATTGAAAATACCGAGTTATAAAATGTATCAGCAAAAATAAGGATGTACAAAAACGCCAACAAAAGCATCAAGGGTCGTTGCCATGAAGACTTTGACTAAGGAACAGCTACAATCCACAAGGACAATTGAAACATCTACGAAGAGGATGTATAATGCAATGTGCCGGATTGATCGGACACATCATTCTAAACTCTATAGCTCTAATCACTGACCATTCATATAAATAAAGGGACAATCTTGCACCCGTTCATCCCAGTATGCCTTGACACCTATGGCGCGAGCCTTTACGCCTCTGCATTCCTCACCCTGGGTCACATGTATGGACACAGAATCTTAGCAAAATAAACAAGCCATTCAATCTACAAAATAAATCTCGATAAATTAAATACAAAATGTCATGAAAATACGAGTTATAAAATCTAGTCAGCAAAAATATAGGGATGTACAAAAACCCAAACAAAAGCATCAAGGTCCGTTTCTATGCAAGACCTGACGTAAGAACAGCACAATCCACAAGGACACTGACATTCAGGAAAGAGGATCTATAATGGCCAATGGCCGATATGACACATCATTTCTCAACCTATAGCAATCACGTGACCATTTCATATAAATAAGACAGGCTGCGACGCGTTTCATTCGCCAGCTAGTCTGTAAGCCGGTGAGCGCGGATCCTTCCCGCTGCACTCTGCCATTACTTGCTACCCTGGGTCACAGTGTTGGACATCAGAATCTAGCAAATGAAACAAGTCATTTACACTCTACAAAATGAAATCGATATAATACCGACAGTTTAAAAGTAGCAGCAAAAATATAGGAGCTATCAAAACCCCAACAAAACATCGAGGTCCGTTTTGCTAGGAAGACCTTGACGTAAGAACAGCTACCAATCCACAAGACATAACATTATACAGGAAGAGAGTATAATGCAATGTGCCGATCATGGACACCATCTAAAAACTATAGCTCTAATCATCTGACCATTCACCTAAAAATAACCAGCTCGCACGCGTTAATTCGCCTGTATGCTCGCCTGTACACCTATGGCCGGAGCTCTTCACGGCCCTCTGCATTACCTGCTTACCCTGCGTTCACATGTTGGACACCAAAATCTACACCAGAAATCAAGCAAAATGAAACAAGTCATTTACACTCTACAAAATGAAATCGATAAATTAGAATACAAAATGTCGTTGAAAAATATCAAGTTAAAAAATGTAGTCAGCAAAAATATAAGGATGTACAAAAATCCCAACAAACCATCGAGGTCGTTTGCTATGAAGACCTTGACGTAAGGAACAGCTACAATCCACCAAGAACATATGACATTATACAGGAAGAGGATGTATAATGCAATGTGCCGATATGGACACATCATTCTAAAACTATAGCTCTAATCACGTGACCATTTCTTATAAATAGAGACAGCTTGCACGTGTTAATTCGCCAGTATGCCTTGTGACTCCCTTGAGCAGTGATCTCTTCACTGCCTCTGCATTACCTGCTACCCTGGGTCAGTGTTGGACACCAGAAATCAAGCAAAATGAAACAAGTCATTTACACTCTACAAAATGAAATCGATAAATTAGAATTCAAAATGTCGTTGAAAAATATCAAGTTAAAAAATGTAGTCAGCAAAAATATAAGGATGTACAAAAACGCCAACAAAGCATCGAGGTCATTTGCTATGAAGACCTTGACGTAAGGAACAGCAACAATCCACCAAGGACATATGACATTATACAGGAAGAGGATGTATAATGCAATGTGCCGATATGGACACATTAGCTCTAATCACGTGACTCTTTCATATACAAAAAGACAGATTGCACACCAGACACAGGAAGAGGATGTATAATGCAGCAATGTGCCGATATGGACACATTCTAAAACTATAGCTCTAATCACGTGACCATTTCATATAAATAATGACAGCTTGCACGCGTTAATTCGCCAGTATGCCTTGTGACTCCTGTGAGCGCGGATCTCTTCGCTGCCTCTGCATCACCTGCTAGCCTGGGTCATGGTGTTGGACACCAGAAATCTAGCAAAATGAAACAAGTCATTTACACTCTACAAAATGAAATCGATAGCATCGATATAGCATTACGTCACACGCAACTCGATGTTATTCGCCTTCTCTTATTGGCGCATGCGGACATTCACGCTACCATCATCATGTGAAAGACGCCAGTCCAGCTCGCGGCTGACGAGGTTGTGCGAGCTGTTTCTCATCGCTGCTGGCGCCAACATCAATAATAAGGACGACGACGGCAACACGCCTCGCCATATAGCTGTATCCTGTTGTGTCCTTTCCAATACCTCATTCCATGACGGAGAGATCTGGGACACTGCGATGTCATTGTTGGTGACATCTCCGGAGGACTCGTTTTAGCAGTGATTTAGAACCCTCTGGAGAGTTCTGGAACTTTCCCTTTCTTAAGACATATTCACTTAACATTGCTGAGAGAACCGGGACTGCTCTGACGCCATTAACATGTCATTTACGTGGTGTATAGTTAAAAATAGCGGAGCCCCAGTTCTCTCAGAAACTACCATTTCTTCTTCTTGGTCTGTGGAAGCAAAGGTTGCTGGAGATGTCTCGACAGTTGGCGAGACATCGGAGATGGAGATCACGTTGGGTTAGGCGGCGAGGGAGATTCTACTGGAAGCGAAGTCTCTTTTAAGTTGAGACGTTTCAGATAAGGAAGAAGACGTAGATTTGAAAAGAAGCGCCTCCATATAGCTCGTTGGGAGATGTTACCTTCTATTGTGAAGTGTAAACGTATGGTTTTCAAGCCTATTGAGGATTTTTGGCAAATTGGTCCTGGTTTTCCAGAAGCAGCAGCTATGCCTTGGAGTACTACTGTTGAATTGTTGTGTGGCATGTTTGACTTGAATGATTTCATTGATTCGTTCAGAGCTTCATATAGGAATGTAATGTTCAATAAAATTGATTTATTTTTTCGTGATTTTAAATTTGAAGATTGGGGTGCTTTTATTAAAAAAGCTCCTGGAAGTGCTCGTGTTACGTCATGTTCACCTTGTGATAAGAAACCACCACTATGTGCTAATTGTGAGAAAGGTATTAGTTCAATGTTGGATTTCAAAAATTGGAATGAAGTTGGAAAAAAATATTACTTTTCATACATGGGATGTCAATTATGTTTCAAATACTGATTATCAAGGTTCAACAGCACGTTTTGTTTGTGGATTTCGTAATGATTGTGATGGTTTGAAAAAGTTGATTCACTTGCAACTGTATGGTGATATGAAAATGTATTCACTTACTCCAAAGAAAAGTGTTAAGTGTACTTTGTATTTTAAAGCCAAAAAGCCTATGTTAACTAAGGAGTTCAAATCAACCCAACCTTGCAGTAAAGTTTTCTCAGCAATGGAAATTCCTCAAACATCATATGAGAAGAGTTAATTAGTGCACCAGTAATTTGTGAAAATCGGCCCTCTTCAGAAGTTGATCCGCCAAAACCTGGTTTTCAGGGTTTTTGGAATTTGTATTCTATGATTTGTTCATGTAGAGCGTATATTTACTTTACTTTAAGTGGTAAATGTCCTCAATGAATATATGTATTTTCAGTTGGAGTGATGTACAAGATGTGATTGGTCCCAGACACCTGTGGCCTCGATATGTAATAAATGGATTTTGGCGTTGTCCATTGAATTATCATCGGCGTCTTGTGATTGCTGCCTTTGCCTATGGCAATGGGCAAATCCGTCTCCTCATATCCTTCCTGGCTGCATTTAGAAGAAATGAAGCAACTCCGGAACGTTTAGCTGCTATAGAGAACTTATTTTTATATTGGGATGATGAAGTGTTCGGTAGACTTAGAAGGAGTAGGAGGACTTATTTTGATATTGCTACAAATAGTTTATTAGATCTTAA